GTGTGAGACACATATTCACAAGTAGAAGTTCTATACGTGTGTATGGGTGTGGTCAGATGCCGTGTTGACCCAAGGCTGACTTTGGGAGTATCCTCATCTTACTCATTGAAGATGGTTCTCTCCGTTTTACCTGGAACTTGCTGATACGGCTAGTTTGGCTAGCCAGCTTGCCCCAGGCTGGACTTGTGGGCAGGCTGCCATGCCTTCCCAGTATTTACACAGGCACTGGAGATATGAACTCACGTCCTCACATAGCATAGCAGGCTCTTTATTCAAAGCTTATATGGCTGAACTAAAACACAGCTTAGAAGGAAACATACAGTGCTCAATGTGTTATCTTATACATTAAGGGCTGGCAAGGTAGCTCATTGGTGAAGCCCTGAGTCAGACCTCCAGCACTGAAGAGGAAAGATAGATGCTGTAAAACAGATGATAATAATCTCAAGAGCTAACCGGAAATGGTGGCACACGTCTGTAATCCCAGCACCCAGGGGAGGAAGATCTTACAGAGGAGGATCTCGTAAATTCAAGGCCAGCCTGGTCTGCAAAGGGAGTCCAGGACAGCCAAGGCTACACAGAGAAACCCTGTCAAAAAAACATAATAATAGTAAATAATCTCAAGATCTGGAAAGGGAAAAGCAACTTAATATGTGGTCTAAACTGATAAATTGGAATTAACCAAAGATTTAAGTAACCTTAAAAAAATAATATAAGTATCAGTCATTTTTAAACATTCATAAAATTGATACATTCTCAAGACAGATTGAGATAAAAGAATAGAGAAACCATGAATATCAACATAAAAGTTTATAGCCTTATGCATTCTATAGACACCACAATGTTGAGGCTTTAAAATGCCAAGAAAATGCAAAATGGCCCATGGGATGAAGGCAATACTTATAAGGCTTCTCTGTGATAAATGACACATATTTAGAACAGTTACAGGCTGGGTATGGTGACACATATCTACAAGACAGTACTTAGGAAGTGAAGGCAGGAAGATCAGGAATTCAAGGCCAGCCTCTGCTACCTGGTGATTTTGAGGCCATCCTGGAACACATAAGACCTTGTGGAATTTTTAAAAGGAGTAGTTACAACTCAGAAGAAGAAGAGGAGGAGGAAGGGGACAGAGAGAAAGGAGGAGGAGAGGAATCATTGGAACTCATTAAAAGATGGTCGACCTCAGTGACCACTAGGAAATGCAAATGAAAATCATATCCCTTCACACCAGAGTGCGGTAGCTTAAGCAAAAAGGAACAAGGTTTGGCAGGACCGCAGAGAAAACTGGACCCTCACTCCTTCCAGTAGGGGTAGAAGCTCACACTGCTACTTTGGAAAGCATCTGGCTGTTGCTCATGAAGTTCAAACAGAGTTGACATTTGACCCAGCAAGTCTACTCCTGCATCAGTACTTCAGGGGAATGAAGACCTTTGTGCACAAATACCTGAACCTTCAGAGCCATGTTCAAAACAGCCCCAAGTGGAGACAGCTCAGGCGTCCGTCAGCCAATGAGCAGGTGGAATGCTATTCAGGCACTGCAAAGCAACAAAGTCCTGAGCATGCTGACACATGACTGTCATCAGCTCAGGGAGGCTGAGGAAGGAGGGTGGGGAGGTCAAGTCAGACCTGCACTATGCAGCAAGATCTGGTCTCAAAAACAAACAAAAGAGGAGTCAAGTGTCGGTGTGTGCTGTAACGTCTTTAAGACGTTAGGCTAAGTCAAAGAAGCCAACCACAGCAGGCCACAGACAGTATGATTCCCTTTAGACGAAATGCTCCAAATGGGCACGCACATGGAAGGGGCTTGGTGGCTGCCTTCTGCTGAGAGGGCGTGGCCTGGAGAGTGGAGTCAGCTGCTAATTAGAGTGCTTTTTTGGGGGGGTGGGAGAGGTGAGAAGTTCCGAAGTTGATCGTGGTGATGGGTGCACGGCGCTGGGAAGACACGGAGACCACCGGCTGACCACATCTTATGTGGGATTAATTGTTTACTCGTGTGTTTCAGGAGTGACGTGATCTTTTAAGACTCTCATGAAAGTAGGCACAAAATGAAACAGGCAACATAAGTTGTCCCGTGTATAATATTTTAAGCATTTTTATATTTTAGTCTGATTGAATGAGTAGATGAGGTGTGTATTGGGGGGGGGGGGGTCATGGCCCTTGTGTGCCAGAGGACAGCTTTTAAGAGTTGGCTCGTTCCATCCATCTACCATGGCATCTGGGGATTGAATTCAGGCCATCAGACTTGCATAGTGTTTTTGCCTGCTGAACCAGCTCACCAAGCCCTCATATGTGGCTTTTAAGAAACTAAATCTGGAGGGACTGGGAGATGGCTCAGTGGTCAAGACTACTTGAGTGCTCTTCCAGAGAACCAGAGTTCAATTCCCAGTACCCACATGATGGCTCACAACTGTCTGTAACTCCAGTTCCAGGGATTTGGTGTGCTTTTCGGGCCTCTTTGCACGTATCTGGCGCACAGACATACATGCAGGTGAAACACCCGTATATTTAAAGTAAAAACAAACAAATAAACCCCACCAAATAAAACAAATATGTAAAGAAAACCTAGGACTAAAGTGAATTGTCCTAAAAACTTAACAAAGAAATAACACAAATCATACTTTTTGCTCTTAGAATACAGAGAGGGCAGCACCTGATGAGAGTCTAACAAAACCTTTATGACAAACACAGGCCAGTCCCTTGAGTGACTGTGAATTCAGAAATCCTAAACAACGCCTGTGAGAGACATCTATCCCAGAGACAGGGCTGAGGAAGTGTTTCTTGGCTCAGGGTTTCGGAGGCTTATAATCCTGGTCGCTTGGCCCTGTTGCTGCGGGGGAATGGCCATGGAGGCACACAGCAGAAGGCCGCCCGCCTCGAGGCAGCTGGGAAACAGAAAGAGGAATTGAGCACCGTCCGAGTTCAGAGCCTGCAAGGGCACCGCTCGCAATGGCCTGCCTCGTCCAAGCAGAGTCCCCTCCGGAAGTTCCCATCGCCTCCTGATAGCACCGCCAGCTGGGACCAACCTCTCAACACACGGCCTCTGGGGATACATTTCCCGTCCAAATCACACAACGTAGTAGGAACGCTACAGAAGAAACCCGCTTTCACGAAACTCAGTAAGGCCCTATTGCTTCCCTGGCACACAGTAGGCGCTTCATACGTGTTACCCGTTCTCTCCCTCCTCCCGCAGACAAACAGCCGTTTGTCTAAGTCTGTTTAAAGCCAGGCGAAGGGCTCAGCGGCCACGGCTTCCTCTGAGCCGCATCCCTCTCACGGACGGTTGTCAGGCAATCCTCCTCTTAGGTCGGTTTTCTGAATACTGTACTTAACCATGAAGAACATAAACAGCTCAGGATTAGATGTTCTCGCTCCAGAGCTGTGAAGTGTTGAAACCAACCAGGAAGTGAAGGCGGGATGCCTGTCCTCTGGGAAGCAGGGTCAGCCCTCTCCGCTGCTGTACTCTTGGCTGCGGCTGGGGTGCAGCTGTTGAGGCAGCTGTCGAGCTGTTTGCCCAACTGGAGAGGGTGCTGCCAAGTGGCAAATCTTTTCCAAAAGAGCATTTGACTTTGCTGAGGACAATAACAGTGCATTTTATCAAGTTTTAACAGTATGCCAAGCATGGGAAATGTATGACTCAGCAGGTCCCCAATCGAATATTCATAAAAAGAATAAGTAGGCTCCCCAAGAGAGGCCCCGCACAAATCATCCACATCGCTTAATTATTTCTTGCAATGATGACACAGACTGGCTTGAGAAACTGTACATGAAAGAATTCAGAAATATAGACCAGCACGGTACCACACCCCTGAATTTCTAGCCCTGTGGAGGCTGAAGAGGGAAGACAGGGAGTTTGAGGCCAGCCTGGGCTACATAGTAAGATTCTGTCTAAGAGAGATGGGGGGAGGGGGAGAAGGGAGGGAGGAAGAAATGAAAGAATGAAGGAACTTGCAAATGTCAAAGAGAGGGAAAGTTTAAATGTTTCCAATCCCTGTAATATAATGTCAGTCCTGGGCCCACGACAGCTGTAAGCAGCAGAGACTATAACTGAAGCCACACAGTCAACTTACATTTTTAGCTATGAACACTAAAGGCTTCCCAAACAATCATGTTGAATTTGGCAGATAAGGATGGGACGGGAAACCATCAGCAATTTTCACTCATTGGTAAAATAGGAATGTCACCCGGAGGCAGGGGAAGCTAAGAAAATGCATTTTACTGAATGAGTATAATTTTCTGAGCCCAGATGTGCAAGGGTCACGAGCAAACTAAGACAGATGCTCCGTTCCTGGACTGTTCTCCAGAGCCAGAGGCACATGCCTTCAAAAACGCTTATGGAGAAACACCCCAGGCTGGGGGGGAAAGGCTGTACACACCCTTGGTCTGTCTGGGCTGGAGTCGGGTGAGAAGTCAGCCGCTGCTGTCATTCACCTCTTTGCGGAGTGGGGCAGGGGGCACTCGACTCGTTAATCAACTCCCAAGTCAGAGCTGGAGCAGACATTCTTGAAGATCAGCCCAGTGGAGCAAAGACGCGTGGCCAGTGGGGACTGCAGCCTACTCTCCCCGCTGTTCACCAGACGGCAATTGCGTCAGACAATACATCTTCTCCGGCCAATCCTTCCATTGCAAAAAGCGGGGGTGGGGGTCTGTTGAGAGGAGCCAGTGGGTTAAAGGTGCTTGCCACCCAGCCTGAAGAGCTGAGTTCTCACCCCGGAACCCGTGTAAAAGGTGGATGAAAAACAAAAACAAACCTGACTCCATAGAGTTATCCTCTGACTTTTACACATACACTGTGGCATATACACTTGTGCCCACTTGTCATCTCTACATACATACATACATGCATGCGTGTGCATTTAAACAATTGCAGCGCCTTCCAGAAAGCTGGCCCGGCTGTGTAGAAAAGGTTAAAGCCCCCCAGCTTAAAGGCTTGCTGACAGTGTGCCCCAAAAGCTTCGTGCTCTTCTTTTTCCAGGGATTCAGAAAACCAGCAAACGGAAACCATGGATGGCTTGTGTAAGCTCTCCTCCACGGAAAGGGTACAGCTGCTGGAGAAGGAGCTGGCAGAAAAGCTAAGCGAATTGAAGGCCGAGCTGGGAGAACAGGGCCTCCTTCGGGGACCAGCCAGCTGGGGCTTCAGGTAAATTCAGTGTCAAGGCGGGGCTTCCGGAACTTCTCCTCCGGTTCCCACCCTACGTGCTCAGTCTGCCCGAGTCTTTTTCTTTAACAACGGTTGATATCACGTCAAGCTCTGATAAATGGCACACAGCAACAGTTTCCAATGCCTTTTCCTAGCAAGTACTGGCGGGGCCCAGCCTTGCTTAGATGCCAAGATCTGATGAGATCTGGGTGTCAGGGCACTGCAGCCATAGAGCAGGGCCCCTTTCCCGGCATGCCTTTCACGTTTTTAGAACAGTCAAGGCAGATCTTAACTAACTAAGAGGGAAAATACTAAGTTCCAGAAGCCACTATATAAATGAAAAGTTTCATTTTGCCTAATAACACTTGGTTAGACACTTAAAAGCTGACGTAATGCTAGATATTTGGTAGTGGATTCTGGGAGACGTCATTTGGCCAGGGGCCGTTTTGTAGGTGGTTCCTGCTCATGATAGCCATCAAGTTGCTTCAGGGAGCAGAGGGGCCAGATCACCGAGTGTTTCCAGCCTGGGACCTTCACAGCGCCATTTCTGTTGACACAAGAAGCCTGCTGGTTTGAGGAAGCTTGGTGTGTGAATGTGGCTGGTCCCTGGGGTGGAGAGGAGATCAGGGGAAGAAACAGTAATTTTGTACATTTCTGTTTCATTCCAAAGCTCTTTTTGTTTGTTTGTTTGTTTTGTGGTTTGTTTGTTTTAAGACAGGGTTTCTCTGTGTAGCTTTCACTGTCCTGGATTTGCTTTGTAGATCCAGGCTGGCCTTGAACTCACAGAGATCTGCCTGCCTCTGCCTCCCGAGTGCTGGGATCAAAGGTGTGCGCCATTCGCTGGGCTCCAAAGCTTAAGAATAGCTACTCCGGAAGTTTTCCTTGGTGTCTGAGGTAGATCAAGAATGGAGCAGGAAGATGAGGAATCACAGGACCAGGCCAGTCATTGCTTTTAGTCCTTTATCTGCAAATGAGGCCAAAGCAAGCTCTCCTACCACATAAAATTATGAGGACCACGTGACAACGCACACTATTTTGAAGACTATGAGATTCCAGAAATAGGTGTTGATACTTTAGCCCAGGCAAATGATTCCTCATTGTGCCATGTGGCAGGAAGGTATCCCAAGGGACTTTGAGAGCACAGTGGTGGAAAATCCTGAATAACTGTATTTCTCTGTCACCCCAACCCACCCTATGCTGTAACCATCTGGAAGAACCTAAATTCTAAAAGGTGCAAGTTATCTGTTTTCTAAAGGTAGTCCTGGGCCCAAGAAAAATGGAAATAAACGGCCACTCCTGATGAATCACTTTAGCACTTTTTTTCTCTCCCTCTCTCTTTTCCTCACTCTCTCTGTGTTGTGCACGAGTGCACGAGAGTGCAGGCTGGAAGTCAGAAGAAGGCCGAGTGTCAGTCCTCACCTTCTACCGTTTGGACACAGGTCTCTTGAGAACGTGTATGCCCAGCTAGCCGCCTGAACTCTCCCATCTCCACCTCCCATCCCCCACAAGGAGTGCTGGGATGCAGTCATGTCCACTGAGTCTGTCCCGGCATCTGTCCATCCGGTCTTCACACTTGAGTGCGAGACACTTTGTCTGTCCTGCTAGCTCCCAGCCCATTTGTTCTTTTTTTAAATTTTTTTTTTAACACAAAACTTATTTTCTTTCTGAAATGTTACATTCTTTTCTTACCCTGAGCCCTGGGTCTTGCAGTAGTTATGTGTTTATCCATGGCTTCGGGGTGAGTGAACAAATACACATTGCAAGAACATTTGCTGAACTAATGGGCATCTCTCTGGGGGTTGGTCACGCATGCCCGGGGGCCTCTTTTCGGTCATTCACAAGCACTCCGAGGTTAACTGAGAGGAATGGCATAGCTTGAGCAGAGCTGGGCAGCAAAGCCCGTGACTTCCCGGCTCCGAGCATGCCGAGAACAGGAGACGCCAATGCAAGGAAATCCTTCTTCTGTAACTGCCCATCAACAGCTGAGCCCCTTTCTTGTGGCTCATTGCTTCTCCAGCTCCATGAAGCTTCAGAAAACAATGTGTCCCTGATTGATGGCTGATTTTACTCTCAAGATCCTCTTCTTCTTCTTCTTCTTCTTCCTCCTCCCTCTCTTTCTCTGTCTCCACCAAGGCCTAGGAAAGGAGGTGAGAGATGGACTGTATGTAGCTTTAAAAACCTGACACCAAGTGTCCAGGTGGGTGTTTAGGCTTCTTTGGCCTAGGGTCCTGTCGGCTCTGGCCACCCTTGTCCAGGGCTCATGCTGACCTTTTCCGTGTCACTTCAGTTCTATTATTTGTGCTGTCAAACTGAGAACATGGGTTTCCTTTTCTTCCCTTCTGTCCACTTCCCTTAGCACTGGAATGTGAACCTAGGGCCTTGCCGCTGAAAGACAGGTGCCCTAGCCACGGAGCCCCACCACCCCAGTCTCCTGGTATGGAACAGGACTACTCTCTGACAAGGGAACGCATTAACAGTGTATGTCACCACACTAGCTGAGGACTGTTGGGGCCCAGTGAACATTATCAACCCAAGTTTGCTGCCTACATCTCTCCGGCTCCCTCCCTGGTGTCTTAGCTCTATCACTGTGGCTCCATTGCCAGTGGCTGTAAAATCCCATCTTGCAAGTGTGGAATCTGTTTGGGGATGCTGTGTGCTGTCAAGCCTCTCATTGCCTGCTCAGTTCCGTGGGGATAGGGCTGACCTCCCGACCCTTCCTGGGGGCCTATCCCTTACTGGGATTCCTTCAGCTTGTTGTCAAGCTGAGCAAAGGACCCCCTTGCCCGGGACTTGAACATCTCCTTCTCCGTGGCTGTTCCATGTTTCCTGGGATCCAGCCATGTTCCTGAGGCAGAAAGTTAGGTTAAAGGATTTCCCATTTGGTACTTGTCGGTTACTTCTGCCCTCTGATAACCCGGCAAGAACATAAAAATAAAAACATTTTGTTTCCGTGACAAGGTACCAGTTTTCTGCGTCAACGGAGAAGGGAAACAGCAAGGTTTGAGAAGCAGCTGACTGGGCTGGAGAGATGGCTCAGAGGTTAAGAGCACTGGCTGCTCTTCCAAAGGTCCTGAGTTCAGTTCCCAGCAACCACATGGTGGCTCACAGCCATCTAAAATGAGATCTGGTGCCCTCTTCTGGCCTGGAGGTGTACATGTAGGCAGGACATTGTATACATAATAAATAAATAAATATTTAAAAAAAAAAAAAAAAAGAGAAGCAGCTGACTGTCAGACCTGAGAATACAAGTGCGCGGGGAGGGGGGATAATTCCCCACGTAGCCCTCTGTGCTGAGCACTCTGGAGTAGGGGGCAGGGACAAACCACAGGAAGGACCCCGAGAGGAGAACGAAGCTGACCAGGGGAAGGGTTAGCAAAGACTAAGGATGTGTCAAGTATATCTGACCAAGATACAGGAGCGTGGCCTTCACACACCCCCTAAAGGGCCAGAGTGAGGCGCTCCTTCTGAGTGAGTCACGGAGCCCGCAGGCCGCCGGTATCTGCTCCATCGCAGCCTATGTAACCACGGCTTCTCTTCAACAAACCTCCCCGCAGCTCCGTTCAAATACCAAAGGATGTTGCTCACTTCAGACGCGAACGGGAAGCGGCCCTGAAGAGAACCCTCCGGGTGAGTAGGATGCTGGCCGGCTTCAGGACACGTTCGCTAGTTAGGGAGCTATTCGCAAGAAACGTTTATTATTTTGCAATCAGCTCGTGTTGTTGAACCGTACAGCCCCACATCCTGCTCGCTGCTGGGCGAGTGCGAATCACCGCGTCCTTAGAGAGATCGGATTTTTTTTTTTTTTTTGCATTTGAAATGTGGTTGATGGAGGATGTTTGAAACTCCGCGCTTGCGTTTAGGTGGCGGAGTCCAAGCCCCTTGTTATTCAGGCAGATGTCCTGCAGAGGGAGCTAGAGAGCTGCCTGAGGAGAGAGTACACGCCGGAAAACCTTCCTCTGCTCCTGCTGCAGGTAGGGGCCTCTTGCAGTCTGCAAACACAGGAGGGACTGTGTTGCAACTATATCAGCAAGCTGGCTTTTCGGTACAGCCTGCGGGCAGGGGCTCTGGATATGGGTCATTTGCAGACTTGACGCTTTCTTTAGAGAGACCACTTCGTTCTCACAGCTGAGTTCAAAGCTTAAAGTTGCTGGGCTGAGAGAGTGAGAGAGTCTGACTGCCAGGGTGCTAAACCGTGTAAGGAGAAAGACAATCTCCACCTCCCAAAGCCAGGGGAGACATTTCTGAAAACCTCTCTTAAGAAAACGACTCAGAGTAGGAAAATAGTTTTCTATCAAAATTGCTGCAATATTATAATAAGAGAGAGTGGGGGGGGGAGGGAAGAGGGAGGGAACCGCGAGGGAGGGAGAGAGAGAATGCCAGCCAGCCTTACTTTCCATCAGGAGAAACGCAAAACAATGTGGATTGCTACTTGGTAGACTATACCACTAAATATTTATCTTTTTTTTTTGCATAAGAAATTATTACATTTTGTAATATTAATTTAAGATTATGTACGTGCCCTTGATAATAACGGTCAAATAAAATATAGAAGAATCACTAAGTTTAGGCGACAGGACAATAAAAATCCTCTGAACTTTCAGATAGAGTCTCAATTTTGCACAATCGTGTACTATTTCAAAATTTTAAATGATTTGTTCTTTACTTCTATGAAATCATTTAAGGTAGCCCGTGTTCTGAGCTGTATCTCTTCATTCATAACAGTTGGGTCTTCAATGAGTAGTTAGCAGGAATCACGAAAGATAAAATGTTGTGCATTCAGAACTTTCTTTGTATAATTGTCATCCTTTTTCCTTCCATCTTTCCCTCCCTCCCTCCCTCTCTGTTTCCTTCCTTCCCTAATAGCTTCCCTCTCTCTCTCCTCCCTACCTGCTTTCCTGCCTCCCTCCTCCTTCCCTTTCCTCCCTTCCTGCTTCCTCCCTTCCTTCCTGGTACTTTCCCTTCATTCTTGTATATCACTGGTTCTGGGTGGAGGGAGAGGCAGGGTAGGGGTTATAGATATTTGTCCCCTAGAAGTCATATGGTCGTGTCTGGAGATGTTCTCGGTTTTCAGAATTTCCAACGTACAACTGTTGGACCTTCATGCTTACTTGCCAGACACCACGGATGATGTTGAAACATCTAATGCACAGAACAGCCCTCTGCAACTAAGAATTGTGCTGTCCCAATTGACAGCAATGATAAGGTTGAACAGCTTGAATATCCAAAAAATATATTCTTTACCGTCTGTCTGGAGAGCATTCTTTAATATCATCTCTACTTCATGTCTATCAGGGACACATTCTCACAGTGTTTGTTATTTTATACAAATCATTTCCCTTTCATTTTATAAAGCTAGTTTTGCACGGTGTAGATTTCTGGGCTGAGGATTTCTATCGTTCATATTTTAAAGATGCTGCTTTAGTCCCTGTGGCTTGCACTGGATGGATTCTATTTCTGAACACTATGTATTTCTGTTCTCTGGCTGTTTTAAGCTTTTAATATTTTTTAGCTGTTTTATAGTTAGAATTAACTTATTGGATTGTACATTTATTTATTTTCTTTCCAAATGTGAAAAGATTTCTCTTGGCTTGCTCTCGGAGGCTTCATTCCAGGGTCACTTGTGCAAAACTCACAAACTCAAAGAGAGTAAAATGATTTATTCTGGGGCCAGATATGCGTGACCATGGCCCGGAAGCATGAACTCGGGTTATCTCCAGCTCCAAGTCCCAACATGGTAACGGCACCATAAAGGCCTCACAGCAGCTTAACGAAGAGACGTCACAAATCAAGACCCTTTTGAAACACACTGGGGGAAGCCTCAGGTAGGCAGGTGACAGCAAATCTGGGGAATCTTAGCTATAGGCCTTGGATGCTGCTCTGGTGGCATTCTTGGCTTTTTGGTTGGTGGAAGCTAGTTTTCTGTTTGCACATTCCCAAGGTGCAAATGTTAGGGCAGGCACAGAGGTGGGAAAGGAACGGCTATGAAGACAGAAGCTAAAGATAGCTCAAGGTGCACTGTAATTAGGCTTTCAAGCTGTAAAATTCCAACTCTCCATCATCATTGAAGTTCTCATCTGTTAGACAACCAAAGTTCAATGTAGGGTATAATTTTCTTTTCCTTTTCAAGCAACTTTCGTTCACTCCTGGCTGCGTTGTGGTGAGGCGGAATACCACGGCTGGAAGACAGGGAAGAAGAGAGCTGCTGACCTCAGGGTTGCCAGGAAGCAGAGAATTCACTTTTTAGAACAAAGGTCCTCCCAGCCAAGCCGCCGATTTGTGAATCCGTAAATCCATTGCTGAGGTTCGAGCCGTCTTGATCCACTCGGCAAAGGCCCACACTGGGTGTTCTGGGGACCGAGCTTTTAACACACAGTATTTAGGGGTTTAGTATCAAACCTGCAGGGTTTGAGCACAGCAGCCATGCTCCTGATAAATGGCGATGCTGGGTTAGGGCCCCGGCCTTTGGATATGGGCAGCATTGCTCGTTGTCATCGCTCCTTTCTATTCAGACCCGTCAACAGCAACTATGCAGTGAAGCAGTAACGTCTCCAAGATGACGTGGCCGTCACCAGCTCAACCATTTAGCTCATGGATCCCCCCCCCCCTTCTTTCCATTTTAAGTTGTTCAACTCAGAATTGGGCAATTTGCCGTCTTGGGAGGCCGACCCAGATGACTGGTTACCATTTCTATTTCTGATTTGTAAAGGAGGCCTTTTCACCACATTCTTTCAATGACTTGAAGACTTTCACCATTTTAGGGCTGGAGCGTTGGTTCAGCGGTGGAGTGCGTTTTGCTGTTCTTCCAGAGGACCTGGCTTCAATGCCCAGCACCCCGGGGGCAGCTCGCAACTCCTAAGTCCAGTTCCTGGGGACCTGGCGCCATCTCCTGGCCTCCTCAGGCATAGCATGCACATCGTGCACCGACATTCAGGAGAAACACCCATAAGCATAAAAAACTTTAAATAAAAATCTGTTAAGACTTTAAAAAAATTTCAGGCTCGGCTATTAAAGGCCTTGGCAAAAACCAGACCCAAAACATCAAAACGGTGGTGGTGGTGGGGGAAGGTTTCAAACATTTAAAAGACCCTCCAATGAGCAATCAGTTCTTAAAGCACCTGCTTCTGTCCGTGCTCTGGTGCTCTGGAAAGCTTTTGCCGAACTAATTGTCTCAGCAGAGAGAAACTCCTAACCTCTCCCGGCTTTCTGTATTTGCTTTGGTCCCAGTCCAAGCTTCTCAGTACCACGGTGTGGACAGAAACGGGTCCCGGGGTTCACACACTGTCTTCCGGCGTGGCGGCACAGGTGTTGGCCGGGAGGTGAAGAGCCTTCTTCTCTTTCCTTGCTCCAAACCGTCTTTCCCGAACCCGGAGAAGGGAGGGCAGAGTGGGTGAGAGAGCGCGGGCACCCCGCTGAGAGCCGGGACAGCTGCTCCCCGTGGCTTCTGCTGCTTGGGACAGTGGCCCCTGGACAGTCAGTCTCTGCTCTCTGCCGATTTGGACAGTTTTGGGGTTTCTCAATAAAAGCGCTGCTCTTCTCGGAACTTGCCTCTAAAGAGTGGTTCCTTTGGTTGGTGCTCTGCGGTTGGGTTTAGCTGTGCGCGATGATGTCTTCGATTCCCAGGCTTCCTAGGAAGCGGGAAGGTTTCTTCTTCCAACCCAGCCAAGGCTAGGTCACGCTTTCTCTGTTCCCCTGGCTGTTTTCCTCTCTTTCCCTTCACCTCCCACGTCTCTCTCTCTCTCTCTCTCTCTCTCTCTCTCTCTCTCTCTCTCTCTCTCTTTTTAATTCTTCTCACGCTTTTACTTTTTCTTGTTCTTCCCCATCATTTCCGGTCCTTTTTGGCAGCAAGCTTCACATTATCCTGGGTTCCTTTTGCCGTTTACCGAACACCCTTTGCTGTTTTCGTTTTATCCCTTTTTTGTTCAGTAAAAATTCTTTTTCTTCCTTCCTGCTGCCCTGACCCAGTGTGTCATGACCCGGGACAACCGGCCTGAGTGTTTATCACTCTTTACAAACTTTGAAGCGCTGTTTCTTTAACTATAGTCGTTTCTGGAGGGGGGTTCTGCGAGCCTTGCTCCGTGATAGTGGTAGACTGGTGTAGCATGCACACATCTGGGTTCAGTCCCCAGCACTGAAACCTTCTACTCTACCTGTGTCTTCCTTACGGCATGGTGACCTCGTATTGCCTCACGAGGACCAAGATCCTGTTCCCTCTTGAACTCATCCTTGTTTCCTGATGGCGCTTCGTTTTGTAAAATTCCTATTGCTATGTCTTTAAGCTTACTAAACTTGTTTTGTTTTGTTTTCTGGACAGGGTTTCTCTGTAGCCCTGACTTTTCTGGAATTCACTCTGTAGACCAAGCTGGCCTTGAACTCAAGGATCCGCCTGCCTCTGCCATCTCTGTGCTGGGATTAAACGCATGTCACCAACCACCCTGGCTCAAGTTTACCAACTTTTACCAAGTAGAGTCTGATCTACTTCTAATCCAGCCCATTCAAGTTTTTGTTTCAAATATGTACTTGTTTTTAGACTTCCGACTCTCTCCCAGCTATGTCCACGCTATGTTTTCAATTTTTGAGTATGCTGAGCACGCTGTAAAAGACCTTTAAGGATTTTTGCTTGCTAATTTTGTTACCTCTGTCAGGCCTTGTCTTCTCATCAGTAACTCTTCTTCTGTCCATAGGTCATTTTTCTCGTTCCTTTGCACGTCTAACAATTTATAAATGAATGCTAAAAGTAATCATCTTCACTATTGGACACCTCATAGTTCATATTCCTGTCAAGTGTTGCATTTTGTTTAGACGCGCGTGTAAGTTACAGATCCACATCTTTCAAGGCTCGCTTTGAGTGCCTTTAGGATAGTCTTTGTTCTAAGCACAGATAGTCCTTGGTACAGTTCTGCTGTTGCCCTTGGATGTCTCAGGTCTGGAACCTTCGCCCCGGTGGGGTGGCTGGAGCTTGAACATCTGGCAGCCGTAAGAGCCCTAAGAGCTGCTGGGCTTAGGTCCCAGGCAGCTAGTCTTTACACGGCCTCCTCATGTTTCCGTGCTGCATGCCCGGCTGGGTCCTCACCCACAGGCCTGTGGGGATCCGCGCAGATTTCCAGAGCCTTTCTCTGCCTGGCTTCCTCCTCGCCAGAGCGGCAGCCTGCAAACTCCCTGGCCCTGCTCCTCACACTTCAAGCTGTCTCTCCTTAACTCAGAGACATCCTTCCCTGCTCTGTGGGTTTTCTTTCCTTCCTGTGCCTCGGGAGCATGAATGAGTGTCTCGTCTCCCAGGAACCATGGCAACGAGGTTCTCTTCTCCCAGGGACACTGGCGCTATGTTGTCCAGGGCCAGAAAACAGTTTTTGCCTCATCACATTTTGTCAATTCTACCTGTAAGGAAAGAATATGACAGGGCTCATTTCACAGACAGGGTCATTTTTATCGCCAGAGAGGAAACTTAAAAATTTAACTTTGAAAACACACATCTGTGTGACAGGCCTCCACCCCGTAATCCTCCTGCCTCAGCCCCTTGAGTGCTAGGATTACAGAAACGTGCCATTGCATGTAACCATTCTTAATAGTGAACGAAGTTTTTCAGTCGGATCTTATAGGCCATAATCTTACTTTTCTGTCATTTCTGTGCGCGCGATGTACGTGGATAGGAGCGGGCCACGGCACACATGTGGAGGTCAGTGGACAACACGGTGGAGTTACTTCCTGTTTTCCACCTTCACGTGGGTCCCAGGGATCAGACAGGGATCATCAGGATTTCATAACAAGTTTCCTTACCCGAAGGGCTGCCTCACTGGCTCATTTGTCCGACTTGCAATGTACGTTTGCCTCATACCATTGTGTGTATGTCTGTGCACACGTGTGCACAGAAAACGCATTTTAATCATCGAGCCACTTCTCTTGCCCATAATTTCAATTTTTTAACCCAAAATTTCATTACAATTTTTGACTTAACACCCTAGTTCCCTGCCAAGAGTTCCATAACCAATGAAAGAGCTACCAATCAGCTACGTCAGCAGCGGATCAAATCTACTCGGCCTTCTTGCTTTACGTTTGGATTATCTTGGGCCAGTCTTCGTTCGATAGCATTCCTGTAGGGGGAAAAATGAGCTTTCAAAGCAGCCAGAGATTGATTTACCTATGATTGTTTGTGTTCAGCCCTCCCCCTATAATTACCTCCTGGTAAGTGCGTATTTTTGTTGTTGGTGAAGTTTTACACAGAGAGAATCACACAGCTGGCCCAGAGCAAGTATTTGCACATGCTGAGGTGGAAACGGCTTTGCCAGACCAGTAAGACCATGGAAGAGCTCTACCCTCTCTACAAGGTAGGAAGCCGGGGAGCAAAACATTGGGAGATGTGTGTGTGTGTATACACATATGTAAATATACATATGTAGATACACACATATATACATACATATAAATATACACACATGTATATATACACGTATGTGACTTTTAGAAGACTTTATTTTTATTTTAAATTATGTGTACAGCTGTGTGAATGTGGGTTTGTCCACATGCATGCAGTACTCTGGAAGGCCAGAAGAGGGCATCAGATCCCACCTAAAACTGGAGTGACAGATGGCTGTGAGCTGCTTCATGTGGGTGCCGGACACCTAACTCGGGAGTCCTCTGGAAGGGCAACTAGTATGTTTAACCACGGAACCATCTCCAGTTGCCTTCCATATGTATTTTCTAAATGAAACATCGTGGTCAGTAATCGTGTCATTGTTTTAAAGGACAATGTGGCTGTGACATCTGTCACCCCATTGGTTGCTAGGGGAGGTCCTCCTGATGTCCTCCCCCATGTGTGTCCCCTGAAGCCTCCTGCTGGGCTGAAGAAGACTCTCTTAGAGGAGGACCAGTGTTTGCTCAAGAGTGTGCAAGCAACTGTACTTCCCTAGAACCTCCAAACAAGCTCTCAAGGTCTATGTGTAGGAAAATGTGGTGGCTAAGCTTCCAAGGCTCCAGGAACACCCAAAGGAGCCCCAACACGTGATAGTCTGCCTTTCTGTCTTAAGGAAGTTCACAGCTAGAGTCAGGAAAGGAACCGATGGGTAGGCCCTCTCGTGGGTCCTGCCGTAAACTATGGGAAGACAGAGATTCCTCCTTTTGTTATTGCTCTTGAAGCAGGGACTCGCTACACAGCCCACGGTGTCCTGCAACTCACGGTGTAGCCCAGGCTGGCCCGAGCTCACATAGATCCATTTGCCTTTGGTTCTCAAGTGCTGGGATCAAAGGTGTTGGCCACAAAGCTGCAAAGATCCCTCCTTTGGGCTATGCATTTTTCTTGTAGACTTTGCCAAGGCGGGAAGCTCAGAGGCAGATTGCTGCTACCAAACGGCCTCCTGCATTGACTATCAAGTTGCTGTCCCTCAGAGCTGGGGGAGTACAGCCACTGCCTCTCTCAACCCAACCCAAACTGTAGATGAACTTGGGGAGTGCAGAAACTCCCTTCTTCGACCCCTCGAGGGGTCTTCCAGGCTCGCCAACAGCCGTGGCCTGTTCGTATCTCTCTCAAACAGGAACAGGTCGGCTACATCACACTCGAGTTCAGTGACACAGTTCAGAGAGCAGAAAGGCTGTCGGCTGCTCGGGAAAACTTCCTTATGGGAAGAAACAACCCCCCCAACCTCGTGACTCTGGAAGACCTGGCGATTTACACCAGGTGGCTCGTGTGTCACCTGCACTCTCTCAGGACCGTTCATCACTACCTGAAGGTAGGAGAAACCGTGCTGCCGCTCCAGGCCCTCCGGGGAAGGGGGTGGGCAGGCACAGTGACCCCACACCTTCAGGTCTGGGATGTTCACTGTCCCATGATCTACCTAGGAAGGACAAGAGCACGGTGGGTTGCTGGAGTCTGGGGGAACATTCTCTAGCAAACACTCTGCCAATCTGGTTCTTATAAAAAATTTCCTCCCACATTCTGCTTCCTCTCCACTCAGTTCTTGCCTCCACTGGTTTTCTAGCAGTCGTGGTCTTCCGTTTAGACACATTTTGTTTTGTTTTTGTTTTGAGACAGGGTTTCTCTGTGTAGCCTTGGCTGTCCTGGACTTGCACTGTAGACCAGGCTGGCCTCGAGCTCACAGAGGTCTGCCTGCCTCTGCCTCCCCGAATGCTGGGATCACAGGTGTGTGCCACCATGCCCAGCTTGGACACACTGTGTTACTCGGCAGTATTTAATGAGGAAATCATATGTCAAGATACTTGTCCTAGGCCACTCGGCGAAGCCTTGGCCTTTGCTGAAAAGTAACAGGGTCCTGGGCTGGTGGGAAGAAGGGTGAGTAAGCTTCTACTACAATATGATAGGTTAACAGGGGCTGGAGAGATGGCTCAGCGGTTAAGAGCTCTGGCTGCTCTAGAGGACCCGAGTTCAATTCCCAGCAACCACGTGGTGGCTCACAACCATCTATACTGGGATCTGATGCCCTCTTCTGGCATGCAGGTGTACATGCAAGTAGAGCCCTCATATACATAAAATAAGCAAATACACATTTTAAAGAATATGATGGGGTAAGAAAGGGAGCTGGGATGGACATGGTCCTGCTATCTAATCCCAGCATCCATGTTGAGAGAGAATATTGACTCTAAGGCCAGCCTGGGCTCCACAGTGAATTGCAGGTTCACTAGCACGCAAGTAAGAACTTGTCTCAGAAAATAGTAAGGACTAATAATAAAATGAGTAGTAAGGTAGCTTTAGCACCTCGGTGGTGAAATTTGTACAGTAGCTTGAGCAGGGCCGGAAGTTCCGTCTCCAGCACTGCCAGAGAAGGGGGTGAGGGGGAGAGTGTCAGGATGAAAAGAGTAACGTGGGAGAGGCATCCCAGAAGACATCCCAGAAGCCTGGTGCTCCCCTGATTCCACGCCCTCTTCAGAGCCCGCCCGCCACTGTGGTCTACACTCTTCTCACCCCTCAGTCACAGGATAGTACAATGTGAGGCCCCTTTCCCACTCATGGGCATGACCCCTGAGGGGCTGGCTGCAGGCGGAAGTGCTTCTGAGTCTCCCGGCTCCACCCTCTATCACCGGGCAGGTTTCTGAACTCCCACCCCTGTCTCCTGTCTTTCTCCATCACAAGAAGAAGCTGCAGCATCTGCAGACCGGGCTGACCTGTGCCATCTTGGTTGTGTCTCTCTAGGCTCTCCAGTATTTGCCCATCTCCAAGGTGCTGCATCTAGCTGATAAGCCGGTCTCTGAATTTATTGAGGAAAAAGAAAATGTCTGTGTCGCCGACCTTAACTCAGCATCTCCTGGTCCTGGGGATGCCAGTGTTTCCGGTGAGAAACTGGCCTTTACCAGGGTTAGAATGGAGAAAGGAAGGCTGTGATTGTGTGTGCATGGACTGTGTCTTAGTCAGGGTTTCTATCGCTGCCATGAAACACAATGACCAAAAAGCAAGTTGGGGAGGAAAGGGTTTATTTGGTTTATGCTTCCATATGGCTGTTCATCACTGGAAGGAAGTCAGGACAGGAACTCAAGCGGGCCAGGAACCTGGAGGCAGGAGCTGATGCAGAGGTCATGGAGAGGTGCTGCTTATTGGCTTGCTCCTCGTGGCTTGCTCAGCCTGCTTTCTTATGGAACTCAGGACCACCTGCCCAGGGATGGCAGCACCCACCATGGCCTGAGCCTTCCCCGATCAATTACTAAGTAAGAAAATGTCTTCCAGCTCTTTCTCATGGAGGCATTTTCTCAGTTGAGGTTCCCTCCTTTCAGATAACCCCAGCTTGTGTCAGGATGATGTGAGGCTGGCTAGCACAGCCCCTTTTGTCCCATTACCTTCTTAGATGCCAAAAAGTTACATCTTTGTAATGAGCTGTAATTTAATATTAGTATTTCCTGATGGAAGACAATCGCCATGTGCCCGGGCCACTTTTGTCTCCGTTTTAATAACTAGCCGATTAAGAGGCGAACGGACTGGCTTCTAGATTTGTGCCTGGCATGGTCCTCCATGTCCCCCATTGGGCCTCAGTTTACTCATTGTCATACTCATCCTTTCAGATGAAATGATCTGTAAGACTCCATTCAGGTTTTGTTTTACACAACTGCCAGCGACTTTTGTGGTCAGGATCAAATTCACGGTCCCTCCGCCCTTACCTTTTTGTTAAAGCCACTGAGAAGCCTGATCGGGTTTCTGCTGAGTGCCCTTGAGTGATGTTCCCATTATATACAGACTATCCAGGAGCACCACCTGGACAGGCAGCTGACCCCAGCAGCGGGGAGGAAGGCTTCTCGATTTCTTCAAGAAGTCTGGTGTGAGTTAGCCAGGAAAAGCAAATGGCAGCGCTGATTAATTTGTCACTGGCATAGTTCACTTGCCAAAGGTAGGGCTGCCCCACTGGGACAGTCCCCAAGAGGTCTAGTGGGTTTCTCCTGCGGGCTGTGAGATCGTGAGGAGTCCAAAGAAAGCTGGGGCTGGAGATGGGGTGGCAAGAAAGCCAGGAAAGATGGAGACTTGCCATGGAGGTGGCGGGGGGGGGGGGGGGGGGGGGGGGGC